TTATTTTTTTTAATAATATTTGCATATTATTTTCAGCTCTAATTATGTCTTAGTAAAATAAAAAAAATTAGTATTTCCCAGCAGTCACGACTTATACAGTACGCCAATGCTGTATGTTGTCTACGTTCTATATAAACACAGAACTGTGCTAAGCTTAAACCAAAATTATTGTTCTACAGTGCATTCCGAGGCTTTCAGAGAGACATGAAGAGATTGTAAGTAAGAGAGAGGGAGAGGGAGAGGGTTAGCATGCCGAAAAATGGGTGAGCTGTGGGCGGCAGGCGGCTGCTGTGTTTGCTGTGTTTTGTTGCATAGCTGCCGTCGCATCGGTCGCATCACATCCCACAGACATAAACAAGGCAAAGTTATGGACGCAGCTTATGTCCTGCCAAGCTGCTCCACATCTCAGCCACAGCGAGACAAACTTTCGTGCAATTGGGAAATGATTTGTGCAGTTCGTGCTGGCTGCCTGGTTGCCGGCTTGCCAAGGAGCATGGAGCATGGAGCATGGAGCGTGGAGCGTAGCTAGCGAATGGTGGGACTGCTGATAAACGTTGTCCTGGCAGTCGTGGCCGTGCTTGTTTCGCACCTGTCTCTCCTGCCGCGGCGCAGGAGTACGCAGCGGGGCAATCATCCGGCCAAGCCATAAATAGAAAGCGAGTCAAGAGACCCTGCGGCATCATTGCCAATGGAAAATATGGCAGCGCGTTGTCGGTAATTTGCGCAAATTATGTGCAGCCAACGACGCCGACGCCAACGTCGACGTCGACTGCTGTTTGCCATTGCTGCTGGCTGGTCCAATCTCTGGAATGTGTGCACGTGCTAATGGCCGCTGGAGCCAGCGAAAATCGCCAACATCAACATATCCCAGTCTCTCGTCGAGTGCCGCCTCAAATCTCGGCCTGGCAGTGTAAGGGCGTAAGCGGCGCGCCATTAGCATTGCCAATGGAATTTACGCGACCCACACGTGCCCGAGACTGCGCTGGATATTGACACGATTCCGTCATCATCAAGTGGCAGCCGGCAGCGGGCAGCTGGCGCCAGGCGGCAGGCGGCAGGCGGCAGGCGGCAGAGCAGAGAGAGCATCGCCGTTTATCAGATTATTTGCAAAATGTTGCGCCCGATATCAAATTGTAATTTTCCTAAACTGATGCCAGGCAAGGCGTGTGCAAAATGTGGCTTAAATGGAGACGAGAGAAGAGCTCAGACGGGATCGTAAGAACAGACACAAAGCTCACCTCAGTCCCTAATGCAACTACAACACTCCATATCGCACAGCAAATCCAAGCTCAGCTGAGGCTAGACAAACAACTGCATCCACTCCAGTCTAAGAGAGGGCTGAGTTGGCTGTCAAGGTTTATGGTCACATGCGGTGCTATTTATGACACGTTTCCGTCAAAATATTCGCGATTTGTGAGCGACACGACTGCAAATGCAAACCCCAAAAGCAGCAAGGGCAGCGCCGACTCTCTTCCAAGTGCAATCACTTGTGAAAATCAAGCAAAGGGGGGAGAGTTGGCAGGAGGAGGGAGGAGACCGCTGCAAGTCGTAGCCACGTTGAGCACTTGAAACTTCAAAGGAAATGCCTATCGCTGTCAAGGACATAAATTGCGCTGACAGGGCGCAAAAATGTAGAGAGCTGCCAGAGTTGTAGCTGTGCATTTCAACGGTGCTCCAGCTCGAAAAAAAGAAACCCAGGACCAACTGCAGAACCCAGACCTGCGACCCGCGACCCTCGCGGACCGCGCTGTAATGTATGCAGCAAAGTATTTTTTAGCAATTGCATAAGGCAGGGACATCAATAAAATAAATAACAATAATTCTGCAAAATGCCCATAAATCCATGGGGCGACGTCATAACTTTCGTTTTTATGACTCCCCTAGACTAGACAGACAGACAGGCTGACGCGGCGACACTGGATGGGACGGGACGGGGCGTGGCATGGGGAGTGGGGGGTGGGAGGTGGGTGGTGGTGGTTCCACCTGCGTGCCAGTCCGTGGGCCACGTCAGTCAGCAATAAATAAATGCAAGCTGGCAGTCAGTTGGTCGTCACACAGGACATGCAGGACACACGGGGCAGCAGAAAATTGCAGTTGAAATTATTGCATTTAAACAGGACATTATCACACACACACACACAGAGGGAAAAAGAGAGAGAGAGAGAGAGAGAAGGAGAGGGCGACAAAGACGGGGCAAAAATTGCAGCAGTTTGCTTTTTCCAGTTGTTGTCCTTGCTGTGTGTGTGTGTGTGTGACAGAGAGAGAGAGAGGGGCAGGAGCAGGTCCTGTCATTGTTGCTGCGACTCATAAATTAAGTCCTCATAACGGCAAAGTTATTGAAGTAATACAATTTTACACTGACATTTGACAATCGATGCGTCGCCATTGCCATCGACAGCGACAGCGACAGCGCCAGGACACGACCCGGACACGGCCAGGACGACGCGTTCGTGCTCGTGTTGCCAAAGTTGTCAAAAAATGCAAAAAGAAGTAAAAGAAAAACGCATGATAATCAAATGAAAGCTGCAATCGGAGCAGACGGCGCAGCAACCGCGTTAATTTGATTTACTAAAATTAAATTGAGGAGAAAACAAACAGATTTCGCTAGAGACTACGATAGGTATTCCAAGTGATATGCAACTTTTTTTAAGGATTTCAGATATAATTGATTAAAGGTTGTATAAGAAAAATATTAAAGTTTATGATCCGAAAAATATTTAAAATATTTTGAATGTAATGAGATCGCTTTACACTGATGGCAATAAAAATAGGCCAGGCTGTCAAGCGATGTAATTAAGTGTAGTTTTACTGTGCTAAAAGTATATATAGATATGTACATATATACATCTCTGAATATGTATACAAAATATAAAAAATAAGGCAATTTTCCTATCATGAA